CAAGTAAAAATATCTCAGTAATTTTACATGGATTTATCTCATATATTGGGTTATATGGGCTAAATAAAATTATTGTTAAAATACAGTTCACTTGTTTCTTTTTACCTTTAATAAATTTAGAAAAGATAGAATTATGTATGTCTCTCACATTAGGTTTCTGTTGGACAGTGGGGTCTAGACAGAAAGCCTGTTAGACCCCCTTTTAGCTCTCCTTTCAATAGAGCAAATACTAAACGGCAGTTCCCATAGTGATTTTTCTGGTACCTGCCCTCGACTCTTTGACTTTCTAGACACAAATCTCCCGACCCAGGGATATCCACAGCTGAAAAATACGGGGTTTGGGAGAAGACAAAGACAGGCAGCAGTATAGACAGACTAAGGGAGACAGAGAAGGGAATCTTAGAAAGCCCATTGGCCAAAAGGCTCCCCAGAACCACTAACCTGAAACAGAACAGCAAAGAACAGCAAAGACCTTGAAAATATCTCCAACTTACTTAGGTTATAACCCTTCACAAACAACAGCTACTATCTCCAGGTTTCCTTACATTCCTCACACATGGGAACACGAGGGAAAGAAAGAGGAGAATGCTAGTCTTCTTTGTTATTCCAGAGTGGGATGTGATACCACTTCCTTCTGGCCTCTTTCCATCCCCCTCATTGGGGTAGTTTCATGGATGTCCCTTCTCCCCTCATACATTCTTCTGTTATGTGAACCTTGCATCATTTTAGGATGGCTCATGGAGAAATCAGAAAGCAACTGGGAGTTCTCTGTCAGGTTTCCATTTCAGAAGCACCTCGGATTCGAGTCTCAGAGAAGCACTGCTCCAGCTTTGTCAGCTGCTTGTATCAACTACTCCCATTTGCCTAGGCCCCACTCTGGAAGAACAGTGGTCAGCTCAGCCAGAAGGTCACCGAGTCCTGACATCAGTCATTCTATTATTTTAATCACTGATTCATCATATCCTTATTTCTCTCCTAGACCTAACTGGATATATTCCAAAAACCCTACCATTTTCTAAAAAATGGATCCTTAAGAACTTGTTTTTGTATCTTTATTTAGATCACTTCAGGTGCCATTAAAATCAGGCTAAAGGAAGCCGAGTCCACCGAAATCATGATAAATGTTGCTCGTGAGAAGTATCGTTCAGTAGCCACTCAAGGCTCTGTTATGTATTTTGTTATTGCAAGCCTCTCAGAAATAGATCCTATGTATCAGTATTCATTAAAATATTTTAAACAGGTAAGTGTGTCATTTTGTCAATGAAATTCATGTCTTTGGTTTCCCTTTAAACCCCACTGAGTTACTTCTTTGCCTCAGACAAGTCATGAGTCTAGTTATCAGGTAAAACCCTCTAGGAGTTTGGGTTCGGACTTTCAGGTCAAGAGCAACCCTACCTGCCATGGCTTGTCAACATTCAAGTGCCCAGGATGCACAGAAAACTGCAGAGAAAGAAAGGAAAGATCTTCTCTTGACCTCCTCAACTCACCGAGTTAGACTCTGCTTGTCAGTGGGAGGGGTAGCAAAAAATTTGTGCCAGTCTTTTACCCAAACATTCCCTATATCCTGTTTGGCAGTTCCTCCACATTGCCTTGGGCAGTGGGCTTCTCTCACCTACAGGTCTCTGACCTCCCAGAGAGCAGAAATGAAACCTCACCCATCCCTGTCTCCCCATCATACTGCTACATAATTAGTGTTTCATGAACAAAGAGTCTGTTTCCATCCCTCTGTAAAAGAGCTGTTGAATTTTTATGACCTAGACTGAACTTGGTTTTGCCTCTAGATGTCTTGTTCACGTTTTAGTTAAGGATCCAGCAGCAAGAGGAGCTTCAGGAGAGAATGGAAATGAATAACTGAAAGAAATGAGAGGCATGTTGCTTAGACACGCCCGGGCTCTCTTCCCACAGGATGTGCATTTGCTTTAGCAGCCTTTAAAGCCGTTTGTTCTGGGGTCAGATCTCAGCTTCTAAAGGCAGGGATTTGCCCTTCTCATGTCTCTGCTTCCTTCCTTTCCTTGGCTAGCATTAAAGTAAGCAAGGTCACAGGATGAGAAAATTCTTGAATTCCACCTAAATTACTTTCAGAATGCCTTCCTCATCCTGGGGGTTTTGGAATTCATGCTTTTCAAGGTTTTAAAATCTTCAGGAAATAAAACTGAAGATGCTCTGAAAATATCGCAGGCTGACAGAAAAAGGGCTATGGGATGAATCATCAATGCACTGGGGTTTTGCTATTTAGAAGAGAAGCTAGAGACCCTCACCATATTTGTAGGTGACCACGCTAGCCCGGGCATATCTCCCAGACCCATCCATAATTGCATGTCACACTGAAATTATTCAGGGTGCATCAAGATTCACCGTGTTTTATTTTAGCACCAAACCTTATATCTTCACTGGATTTTAACTTCTCTGTTTCTTGTTAGGTTATTAAAGAAAGCTCAATCCTCTTTTCTTCTAAGTGTTTTACTGTAACAACTCCACTCTCCTTTGTTGACCAACTTTAGGGAGACTTAACAAGGGTTTTCCCTTAAATTTCAGAGAGGATTCTAACACATTCTTCCCACATCCTTAACAATTATGTTGGAGAAGTGCCAAGAAGAGCACATGACCTTACCTTGCCCTTACATCTCTCAGCCCAAAATGATTATCAAATCTGAGTTAAGGACATGAAAAAACTGGCTCTTCCAGCTCACCTCCATTTTCCAGTGTTTTCTGCCTCACATCAAGATGATGCCTATTTGAATATTGTTAAGAGTTTGGCAGTGGTTCATTTCTGAAATATGGGAGGGGGCAAGGGTGAGAAAGGAAATGCAGAAAATAAATACCATTTATCAATTTGGGATGCATTCTGGCTTTTTCATAGTACAGTATTCGTCTCCTGTGCTGCCACTGGCTCACAGAATACAGGGCTCAGAAGGGTGGGAGTGAGGAGCAGGGATTTTTTTTTTCCCACAGAAATGGAATTAAATCAGAGACATTGACTGAGCTCTCTTTCACACAGTTGTTCAATACAACAATTGAAACTTCTGTAAGTTCAGATGATCTACAGCATCGCATGGAAATACTCCTGGAACAAACCCTTCTGACCGCTTACGTCAATGTTTCAAGAGGACTCTTTGAACAACATAAACTCATCTACAGCTTTATGCTCTGCGTGGAGATCATGCGTCAGCAAGAAAGCCTGACTGATGCCGAATGGAATTTCTTTCTCCGAGGTGCTGCAGGATTAGAAAAGGTATTTCACGTTTGGATTGTAAATGTTATTTTGAGTAGAGCCCACGAGCACATACCAATGCTCTGTAGGGGGTGAAGATTATACATTTGGCTGTGTGGCCCAGCAGGGAGGGCCCTGGGGGGGGAGGGGTCTAACGGGTCAGGCTGTCACTCAGCTCCATCTCCAATAGTGGTGCAGTGTCGGTAACATTTATACTCTCTATGCAGCAGTGCCCTGGGATGTGGGGAGTAACCAATGAGCTAGTAGATGTGATCGTGTTTTGAAAAGTTGACCATCTTACAAATATGAAGAGTTAAAATTCAATAATGTTGTAATTCATAGATTGGGCAATCCTGTTTGGGAAATCATGACTCTCTCTTACCTGGACACAGCTTTCATTATAAAGCACAGGACGTAATATAACTAGACTGACACCGTCTGTAATACTGTAATACGAGTTCTGCTGCACTTGCCTTCTTTGTGTTCATCCTTTTACTGAACTTGTTCCAGCCCCTTTAGCTGGACTATGTCACCCCCATACCACAGACCTGGTCACCCACAGAAGTGAGCCACACATACCCCCAACTATTGGCTGAAGTTCCATCTTAACCCCACTCTAAATTCTTGGCTCTATCCTGCCAGTCTTGAGCCCCACCCTTAGTCCCTGCAGACATGACATCTGTACCTGTTTGCCAGTATTTGAGCCTCAGTGTATTGCTGGGAGGTTGGACTTCATGTTTGTTTTTTTTTTTTATTTGACTCTCAGTGCCCTATGCTCCCAGGACAAACCCAGACAAGACCTCTCCACAGGATGTTCCTTCCTCCCCACTCCCCACCTATCTTGCATGCATTCATATACTATGAATGCTTTCTTAATACTATCTTAACTTCATAATCACAGTTAATACTGTCAGAGGGCTTGCTTTGTGTTTTATGTATATCAGCTCATTTATTCCTCTTAGTCTTCCTCTTAATGTGAGTTCCTAATTTTATCTCTAGCCTGCAGATAGATTTAGGCACAGAGAGATTAATTTGTCATATTCACATACTTAATAGGATTTGGAACCAGCACTGGAACCCTTGCAGTCAGTCGGTAGAGCTTGCACTCTCACCCACTTCACTCTACTGCTGACTATGAGTCACACCGCCAGGCCCTTCCCAGTGCATTATTGTCCTTCTTTCCTCACAGTACTCTGTTAACAGTCTTGTTTACAGTTTTCTCTAGCAGAGGCTTCAAGTGGTTAAAGAACTTTCCATAATCAGATAACTAATGCATGACAGAGTCTGATTCAAACCTATGTCTAAGCTTCCAAAGACCACATCCATTCCAGTACCAACTGCTACTTCTCATGGACAACATATTTTGAAAAGAAATGTAAAATATGTTTAAATAGCATCAAGCACAAAACTTAAAATTAGGGGTGCCTGGGTGGCTCAGTCAGTTGAGCGTCTGACTCTTGATTTCAGCCCAGGTCATGATCCTTGTGGAACTGAGCCCCACATCAGGCTCCACACTCAGCATGGAGCCTGCTTCTCTCTTTCTCTCTCTCTCTCTCTCTCTCTCTGGGTGGCTGAGTGGCTCAGTCAGTTAAGCTCCCAACTCTTGGTTTCAGCTCAGGTCATGATCTCATGGTTCATAGGTTCAAGCCTCATGTCAGTCTCAGTGTAGGGCTTGCTTGGGATTCTCCTTCCCTCTCTCTATGCCCCTCTCCCCCACTCATACTCTCTCTCTCTCAAAAAAAAAAAAAAAAGACAAAAACACAAAACTTAAAATTAGTCAGAACTCATCTTAAGAAACTTCTCAAAAGTTTTTTTATTAAATTTTCTTTTTCTCTACCACAAGGAAAATAGAATGATTCTTGACTGATTTTTTTCTTTTTAGAAATGTGTTTGGAGGACATCTTTTGTCTAGTCACTTTATTTAGTTACTCGTATTTTAACACTAATATTTCTCACTTTTATCATAAATGCTACATATCAATAGAATACAAAAGCAAACTACATGATCATCTTAGTAGACACAGAATAAAGCATTTGACAAAACCCAATACCTTTTCATCATAAAAACACTCAATGAACTATAAATGCAAGGGAACTCCCTCAACTAGATAAAGGAGTTGGACAAAAACTGCCACTAACAACATACTTAATGATGGAAGCCTGGACGCATTCTCCCTGGGATTAGAAACAACACAAGGATGTCTGCTCTAACCACTTCTTTTCAACATTCTACTGGAGATTCTTGCCAGTTAGGGAAGAAAATGAAATAAAAGGCATCCGGATTGGAAAGGAAGAGGTAAAAGTATATCTATTTGCAGATGATTCTGTATCTAGAAAATACTAAAGAACCTACTTTTTAAAAAAAACCTGAAGTATTAGAATTAATAAATGAGTTCTGGTCTCTGACTTGGGTAGGTAGAGTGGCACCTGGTCCGTGGTGCCAGCCTCATATTAGTCTAGGGCGAAGCAATTCCTCATTTATCCCAGCTTAGCTTTTGGTCCGTGCTGCTGCCTGGTTCATGCCCTGGACACACAGATTGAAAAAAAAAAAAGATAAATGAGTTCAGGAAGGTTGCAGGATACAAGATCAATATTCAAAATAATTTCTTGTATATGCTTGTAATGAACAATATGAAAAATATAATTAGGAAAAAATCCATTTAAAATAGCAAGAGAAAGAATAAAATACTTAAAAATAAATTTAACAAAGGAAGTTCAACCTTATACTCTGAAAACTATAAAACATGTGGAAAGACCTTAGAGGACCTAAATAAGTGAGAGAACTCCCACAATCATGGAATGGAGACTTAATACTATAGGATGGCAGTACTTCCCCAAATGACCTACAGATTCAGTGAAATCTGCATCAGAACCCCAGGTGACTTCTTTGTAAAAACTGACAAGTTTACTGTAAAGTTCATATGGAATCACAAAGGGTCTGGATCCCAAAACTTACTACAAAGTGACAATAACCAAGACAGTATGACACCAGCATAAAGATGAACAAATGGATAAATGAAATTTGAGAGTCTGGAAATAAAATCATGTGTCTGAAGTCAACTGATTTTTTACAAGGGTGCTAAGACAATTCATTGGGAAAAGAAGTCTTTTCAACAAATGGTGTGGGCCAACTAGACAGCCACATGCGAAACAGTGAAACTGGACCCTTACATCACTCCAAATATAACTTAAAACATCCCAAAAACCTAAACATAAGAGCCAAAACTCTTGTAAGAGGACATAGGAGTAAATTTTCATGACTGCCTATTTCACAATGGATCCTTAGATCTGATGCCAAAAGCATGAGCAACAAAAGGAAAAAATAGGTAAATTGGACTTTATCAAAAATAAACATGCTTTTGTTTCAAAGGACACTATTAAAAAAATGAAAAGACAACCCCATAGAGTGGGAAAAAAATACTTGCAAATCATAGCTGATAAAGGAGTTGTATCTAGAATACATAAAGAACTCTTAAAACTCCACAAGGGGCGCCTGGGTGGCTTAGTTGGTTAAGCGTCCGACTTTCGCTTAGATCATGATCTCGCGGTTCGTGGGTTCGAGCCCCGCGTCGGGCTCTGTGCTGACTGCCAGCTCAGAGCCTGGAGCCTGTTTCAGTCTGTGACTCCCTCTCTCTCTGACCCTCCCCTGCTCACGCTGTCTCTCTCTCTCTCCTAGAAATAAATAAAAAAAAAAAAACATTAAAAAAAAAAAAACTCCACAATAAAAGGACAAATGACCCAATTTAAAAATAGGCTAAGGACCTGAATAAATATTTCTCCAAGAAAGATATACATAAGTATGCAAAAAGATGTTTCCTAAGGTTAAGGACATACCATTCATCCCCACTAGTGTGGCTGGAATCAAAAAGACAGATAATAAGAAGTGTTGGTGAGGATGTGGGAGAATTCTCATATACTGTTGCCTAGACTCAAAACTGGTGCAGCTGCTTTGGAAAACAGTCTGGAAGCTCCTCAAACAAAACATAGAATTACTTACTATATGATTCAGCAGTTCAACTCCTGGGCATGTATGAGAAATGAAAACATGTCCACACAAAAAACTTGACATATTTATGGACATGAAAACTTGTACATGTTCATTAGCAGCATTATTCCTAGCAGCCAAAAATGTGGAAACAACCCAAATGTCCATCAACTGATGACTGAATAAACAAAATATGGTATATTCATAACAATAGAATATTATTCAATCATAAGGAGGAATGTAGTACTGACACAAACCATAACATGAGTAAAACCTTCAAGACGCTAAACTAGTAAGCAAAAGAAGTCAGTCACAAAAGACCACATGTTATAAAATTTGATTTGTATGAGTGTCCAGAAGAGGCACATCTATAGAGACAGAAAGTAGTTTAGTGGTTGTTTAGGCTGGGGCCAGGGACAGATAGGAGGGTAATAGCTAAACAAAACCTGGGGATTTTTTGAGGAAATGAAATGTTCTAAAATTCATTGTGGTGACAGTTGCACCAATCTCTGAATTTACTAAAATACCTTGGATTGTATGCTTTAAATGGGTGAATTGCATAGTATGTGAATTGTATGTCAATAACGCTACTTAAAAATGTAGTATAGGGGCACCTGGGTGGCTTGGTCAGTTTAGTGTCCAACTCTTGATTTCAGCTCAGGTCATGATTCACAGTTCATGAGTTCAAGCCCCGCATCTCTGCTTGGGATTCTCTCTCTCTTCCTCTCTCTCTGCCCCTTCCCTGCTTGCTCTCTCTCTCTCTCTCTCTCTCTCTGTCTCTCTCTCAAAATTAAATAAATAAACTTATTATTAAAATGTAGTATAGAATCTTAGGCAAATATTCATGAATTTTCAAAGAATTAGTTTCAGTCTACAATCACAGCTGTTTCTCTCTTTTAAAACTGCTTCCCCACCTGTAAGTGCTTCAGGGGATGCTTCCAGATGGTATAATACCTTTCCCAGGAATTTCTAGGGATATATGACATAAGTGGACATACATACACTCAGCCCTGATGGAATAAGATCATCACGTGTCTTGCTACTGAGTATACTACTCAGCTTTCCTCATCTCTTAAAGGTGAGAACATCTGGGAATCAGATTTCAAGACTAGTCTTTAGGGGGAAAAAATCCTAAGAATATTTGTTTGGTGGGGAGAGACTGGTGTGATGTGTTGAGGAATAGGCTAGAAGTCGACTTCACAGATTTAATTTTAACCCTTCACCAGATCAACTGCTTTCTACAAATGTCAACCTGGAAAGCTTTCACCAGCTGCACTTCTGGGCAAAGGTCTACAGGTAGAATTGATTCAGCACCTATCTTATTACCTTGCCTTGGCAAATGATTATTTTTAACATGCTACTGAAGCTTGCTTTTTCACGAAGACTGGGTGAAAGCATATTTTGTGGTTGTCTTTGTGAACTATTATTCATTTTCGTTCTGTCTTCTAATAGGAACGCCCACCTAAGCCTGGAGTTCCCTGGCTGCATGATGCCATGTGGTTCGCGTGCTGTGACTTAGAAGAATCGTTTCCAGTTTTTAAAGGACTTACACAATACATACTGTTACATCCTATTTCCATACAAATAGGTAATATGTTGAAAAGGATCTACTATAAGGGGGTTGTAAATAGGCTCACGCATTTTTTTAAGGCATTCATTTTTTTTTTTATTTACTTAGAGAGAGCACGTGCGCAGCAGATAGGCAGAGGGAGTGAATCCTAAGCAGGCCCCATGCTGTCAGCATAGAGCCTGATGTGGGCTCCAACCCTCGAACTGTGAGATCATGACCTGAGCCAAAACCAAGAGTTGGAGACTTAACCAACTGAGCCACTCAGGCGCACCAGGCCCATGAATTTTCAAGATTTATATTTACTATTACACCCAATTTAAAAGGATATGCTGGTAATAAACTATAATTTTTTAAAAAAGCTATAATTAATTAATTAATTAAAGGGATGTGCTGGGGCACCTGGGTGGCTCAGTTGGTTAAGTGTCCAAATGTCGGCTCAGGTCATGATTCCATAGCTCATGGGTTCAAGCCCCGCATCAGGCTCTGTGCTGACAGCTCAGAGCCTGGAGCCTGCTTCAGATTCTGTGTCTCCCTCTCTCTGCCTTCTTCCTCATTCATGCTCTGTCTATCTTTCAAAAATAAATAAACATTTAAAAAAAAATTTAAGGGATATGCTTACCTCTAAGAATTGTCTTAGCTGCACCCCATAAGGTTTTTTTTTAACTTTTCATTGAAAGATGACATACATATTAAAAAGCATACAAATCAAAATCGTAAAACTTGATATTATCAAAAATTAACTGTACTTATGAGCCACCACCCAAATCAAGAACTGAAATAATACCAGCCTCACAGAATCCTCTGATACTCCCTCACAGGATCCTTTCCCTCTTCCCTAGAGGTAATGCTTGTTCTGAATTATAACATTCTATGTTAATTTTCCCCACAAGTTTTAATATGTAGCCCTTTCAATTCTAAAAGTACACATTTTACGTTAACTAAAATTTAAATAATAAAAAAAGAATAAATAAAAAGGATGATAAGAAAAGCCCTGAAAAAAAGAAAAGTACACTTCTTAGTTTGAAAGCATTTAGGATTTGGAGGAACTATCTTTTTATTGTTTATAATGTAATTATGTTATGGAAATTGGGGCACATGGGTAGCTCAGTCATTTGAGTGTCTGACTCTTGATTTCACTATGATTGCCAAATTCTCTTTGAAATTCCAGAATTTTTCCCATCATATCTTGTGAAAGTATGCTGTTCATTATGACTAAGTTTAGGATTATTTTCTTCCTACTAAATTATTTGTTTTCATTAAATAATATGCCCTTTACTCTATATAATTATTTTTTGCCTTAAAATGTATTTTCTAATGTTAATGTAATTATAGCACAATTATCTTGGTTAGGGTTCTGCCTCTATATATTTCATACTCTTTATTTTAACTCTTTTGTGTCATCATGTTTTGGGTATCTTGAATGGAATTTTGTTGTTCTGAGCAGTATGAGAGTCTCTCTTTTTTAACAGGAAAATTTTAATTCAATAGTATTTATTACAGTAATCGCTCCATTTGAGGGGCTCTCAAGTGGGGAATATTTTATCTTCTAGGGGACATTTGTCAATGTCTGTGGACAATGTCTGTTGTACAACTGGGATGGTGCTACTGGCATCTAGTAGGTAGAAACCAAGGATGTGGCCAAACATCCTACAATGCTCAGAACAATCCTCCAGAACAAATAACCACTTGGCCCAAAATGTCCATAGTGGTGAGGCTGAGAAACCCTGATCTGTTTGGACTTAACTTCTATCACCTTATTTTGTGGGGTTTTTTTTTTTCTTGGCAGCCTTTTTCTTTGCTTCATTTTTTCTCCTTTCTTGCCTTCAGGTAGCTTATCCATTCTTTCCTTTACCCCATACTTATTTGAAGTTCTGTGTTCTATTTCTATTCTTTAATAATCATTCTCATACTTATAATACGAATATTTATTTAACCAGTAAGTATAATGATTTAAAGTCTACATGGGCCAGAATTTCTGGGA